CATTCTTTTTTTGCCCCTTGGGGGGATAGTAGAAAATTAAGAGTCTTCCCACATTGGGGGGGGTGGTATCTTTATTTTACCCTGGAATATTTTTAAGGGCCCATCACATTCTTGGGGCCATACCCGCTTGTCTTACACAAAATTAGAAAAAAAATGGGGGGTTTTCGCCTTTCACCAACCAAATAAAATTTCGGGATAAGTTGGGAATAAAAAGTGGCATTTTTTTAAGGTATGTGGGGGGTCCCAACCACGCGTGCAAGAATTGTCGGAAAATAGGGATAGGTTGGATAGGGCCGGTCCAGGGATTACCTTAAAGGCTTCCCCTTGTTGTTTAAGTAGAAAGAGGGAAATTCCCTCAGGGATAAGCAGGGAATTTTATTTTTGTTTTGGTGAAAGAGAAAAGCCCCCCCCCCCCCCCCCCCCCCGGCACCCTCCCCCGAAGCCCCGGCGCGTGGCACGGGGCCTCTGATTGCTATTTTATCACCAGTCGGTTCTATCCCTTGTTCTGTTGGTTACGAACTCAACGCCCTTGACTTCGGGGTACAGAGGCTTGATGAGAACCATGGCCCACGATGCGATACCCTTCTTGTGTCGAATCGGACCCACGTACTGAACAAGGACACAAAAAATAAAAAGACGGGGCGGGGGCGAGGGGTCGCAGCGATCGTCGATCCTGGAAGGGACTGGGAAGCGGGGCGCACGAGCATACAATTGTGCCACCCATCCACCCTCCGAGCGAATGCTTCCGGGGGGAGCGTTTCGGACGGAGATGGTTTCGTCAACTGCGCGTGCATTTTACCAGTGACGTCAGTATGACTGCTGCAGACGTAGTGCTAGAGGAAATATAATCTTCATGCTGCTGCCGTCATTGCACTTTACGCAGACAGGATAGGACGACTCTGTAGTACAGAGAGATGAGCGTTGCTCGGATTTGGCCGCCGAAAGCAACAGTGACAACGAGGGAGATCAACAACAACCCAAGGCTACGGGCACAAACCAACGATCCAGATGGAGGAGTTCTTGTTGAAACTTTGAAGAAATACCTTTTTATGTCTCTCTCTCAACGTATGCTTGAGGCATCGGTACAGTGTCCGAACAGGTGTCACGAGACAGGCGCACACATAAACCCATGTACGAAAAAACAAAGCGTTGAACGAAAAGAAAAGTTACCGATCGTCATTCGCAGTTTGTGTCACGGGCGTGGGGACAACAGGCACCACCATCATCAAACGAACAAACAAATGCGATGCAGACATTGCTTCGGACGGAGCGCGTCGTTTGTCGTGCCGTTGGCTTGTACAACTACAAAGAACTGACACGGCGAGTTCCACACAACAAACTCCATCGACTCATTTCGAGTTGGACGAACAACGACTTGAAAAAACAAAACAAAACAAAACAAGGTTACCGCACCTTGAAGGAAAAAACGTCGTCCGTAGTGTCGATAAGCTGGCACACCTGCTCGATTACCGACATCATTGGCTGGATCGCCGCTTTTTTCTGTGGGATTCCGATGCGAACAAAAAAGACAGTCCGCCGAGGAAAATGAAAGCCAAACGATCAATATGATTTTGCTGCAGAGGAATATGTACTTGCCAATCGGCTGCTTCAATGGTTAACCGTGCAGACGTTCCTCTTGTTCAGTTACAGCCGCGACCCTCTTGTCAATGCCTGTCTCTACCACGGGCAGGTGTTGCTGCGATTTTTTCACACTCAAACCGATCTTGACTGCTTTCGCGCCATCCTGATCGAGCATGACGGTTCGCTCGCGGAAAACACGTAGATTGTGGATCCTCGCCCGTTCTACTGAGGGTCCATGATCACGGGGTCACGCAGCAAATAAAACACTTCCTTTGAGGTGCTGCATAGCCTGTCACTTCATCCCCGGAAAGAGATAGAGCCCAGGAATTCCACTTTTCCTTGTCAAAAGCCGGTAGAATTCGAATACATCACGTGGAATATTGTAGTGCTTCCGAACAAGCGCTTTCGAGACAGACTCACACTGAAAATATATGAACCCACCCCCAAGCCTTCGTGAGGGTTGTTGAAGTTGTCCATCCACACGCAGGGCAAACAACAATGTGTGTGTGTGTGTGAGAGAGAGAGAGAGAGAGAGAGAGAGAGAGACAGAGGGAGAGAGAGAGAGAGAGAGAGAGAGAGAGAGAGAGAGAGAAGACTTCCGGAATTCAAGAAAGCCCGCACAGACGTGACCGCCAGAACACTTACATCCTCGTCGATATTCGCCACTTTGATGTCCCTGTCTACCCACTCCGAGTGCAGCGGGAAGGGGTTCACCTCGCTCGTTAGGCTGGCCTGAAGATCCTCATTGGAGTACTTGTAGTGTACCGGGGGCACCTGCACGGGTAGCAGAAAACGAACGCATCAAGCAAAAGACACATGGGGCGCGAGACATTGAGAGGGGTGGGACATGCCAAATGAACGGTTTGCAGACAACGAGCGCATCAAGCAAAGGACACATGGTGCGCGAGACATTGAGAGGGGTGGGACAAGCCAAATGAACGGTTTGCAGACAACGAACACATCAAGCAAAAAACACACGGGCGAGAGACAGTGACAGGTGTGGGACAAAGACAAAATAACGGTTAGGAGACAACGAACACATCAAGCAAGGACACACGGGCGTGAGGCAGTGAGAGGTGTGGGGCGAGGCAAGCATTGTCAGGCTGCGTGTTTCGAGAGCTCGGAAGACTTGAGGCAACCAGGGTTGTTGTGGGTGGTTGGCGTGGGCGGTTGGCCGCCGTTCAAAAGAGTGCCGATCAAAAGTCCTTGCGTACTGCCTAGCAAACCTCCCCACGTTGTAGCCTGAAGTAGATTGTATCGAAGAGTGAGGCTTACTTCAGCAGCAGAGTTATATTGATGGCTATGGTTAGGGTGAGTAGCAGTTGTGCCTCCCTGTGGGACAACCGTTTGTACAACACGGTTAGTCTCTAACTAACTAGGATCTCGTGCACATATGAGCAAACATCGACGGAAACCGCAACAAAAACAACATCAGCAACACCACCAACATAGCGAACGTCACCATCAACAACATAACAACAACAACAACAACAAACAACACCACCCACCAACAACAACATCAATAACATCAACACGAACAACAACAAAAACAACACCTCCAACAACACCACCAACAAAACAACAACAAACAATTAAACAACTAGCAACAACAGCACACAACATCGCCAGCCACAACAATAACTACAGCAAACAAAAAGTGCAACAAAAACATACACAACAACGCCACCACCACCACCACCACCACCAACACCACCATCACCACCACCACCAAAAACAACAACAAGAGCCAACCTTAGGGTCGAAGTCCTCGTACGGAGAAAGGTCCCAGATATCACCCTTGCCGACCGCAGCGTCCCACTCGCTCTCGATCGCGCCCCCTTCCCCCGCGTACATCTTGTAGCCGTGATCGTACACGGCGAGCTCGTCCTCGTCCCTCTCAGGCTCCTCCGCCGCCTCGTGCTCGGCGAAAAAAAATTCCACGAACTCCCGCTCTTCCGGTGTGTAATTCTTCTCCACCTCCAGCTCCTTTTCCGACCTTTGTCGGTCGTCCACTCCCTCCCGCAGTGCTGCTGCTGCTACCGCCTCGTCGTCGTCTTCTTCTCCCTCGCCCTCCGCCGCAAATAATCGAACCCCCTTCTGAGTGGAGGGAAATGTCAAGCGGACGGGTAGATGCCGAAGGGTGATGGGTGATGGGGTGGGGAAAGAAGGGGTGAGGGCAAAGCATGCAAAGAGTTCTCGCGACTACTGCTGGTATCTACGCACCTGTATCTTGGTCTTTTTGGCCTCGGGGAAAGTAAACTTTTTTGTTTTTTTGCATCACGGTTGGAACTTGTATTTGTAGTGAGTAAAACCACAGGTGCGTTCTCCTGTTCTCGTTAGTTTTACCGGGTATCTTTTTGCGGTTTACCTATGCCCAACCCGAAAATTCTGTTGTTTGGCTCGAAGAGCACCAACCATAAGGAACTCGGCAGATCGGAAGGGAATTTCGTGTAGGTCTGTAGTGAAAGAAATTGGCGCTGCGCCCACAGCAGTGAGAGCGTGATTTTGATTTTGGTCCTCGTTGTGTCTCAGATGCGGACGGACGGACTGTCCGAGCGTTACTTCCGCTTGTTCAGATTACACCCGCTGCGGGCGCGGAACGTGCCGGTGCACATGCAGCACTCAAGTGTCGATTTTTCTTATCGCTTGGCATACATGTCGGACCCTCTCCGCACAGCGAGGAAACCCTTGCGCACACGCAACATGGACGTGTTGTCTTCTAAGGGGGGCGGCACAGGTTATGTATGAGGTAGAAACATAATTTCGAGATTTAGACGATGGTTCCACCGCCGCGTCCGCACAACTCTGAACTCTTCTTCTGGCTCCTTCTGATGCGGCAGCCCTGTGTAAAAGTGCTATTATAGGGTGTTTGCACAAAAATGCTCATGGCATTCGAATATTGCCGGCTCTCCCGTTTCAACCACAGCTAAACACATCCCATGGGCACTCTTAGCCAACTACTCGTATATGTCTAGCCCTTCCACGTGCTATTATGCTAACCCGACCAAGCATGCGACACTCACGCACCTAAGTTGCACGGCTGATCTCGTGCGCCACGAATGTCACGCCGGCATGTTGCACAAGATACTAACCCCAGGACCCATGTCAAGGCTCGATTACTCCACGAGGAATAAGAAGGCCAGACTCATGAAATTCGTTTTCGGGCAGCTTTGGACGAGATGCTTCCAACGCCACCGTTTTCGGCACCGACGCCGCTGCTACTTCACAACAAGAGAGCAAAATATAAAATATGTAGGGTTGTGTATCGGAGCCGATATGTTTGATATAATCGGACGATACATATCGTATCGAATATCTATTGTCAGCCCCGATATGTTGGGCGATATATTTGAGGGGGCTCCGTGAATCAAAAAGGGGGCATATGTTAGGCTGTGTTGTAGAAACATGACAAGATTCAGAGAGAGAGGGAGGACGAGGGAGGTGGGAACGTGTTTTGGAAGCAGCTTCGTGAAGACGTTCAAACGTGGTCGTGTTGTACCACCCAACCAAAGCTTCGAAAGAGAACTGACTAATCATCTGTCATTTATTGTCGATGGTTTACAAGTTTTAGCGTTTTTCAGTAGTTTTCAGGATATCACCCACCAAAAAATGGCATGGTCGAAGTGCCCCAAAATCACCCAAAAAATATGCTCTAGTGAAGCCAAATCGCGTAAAAAAACGCCTCCGGCGGGGCGCCTCCAGCGGGGCCCCTCACCAGCCGGGGGGCCGAGGGGGGGCTCGCTTCGCGAGCCCCCTAACCACGGCTCGCTTCGCTCGCCGATATTTTTTCGATATATCGGCTATCGAAAAAATATCGTTATATCGGCTGCGCCGATCTCCGATACATATTATATCGTTCGGCTGCGCCGATACACAACCCTAAAAATATGACTATTAGAGGGTACGGTATCTTACGCAATCCACGGGAAATACTGCATGTACATTATCAGATGGGGGCATGTAGCCGAGCGGTACGCGTTCACGGCAGAGTACAATTATTCTGTGGAGCCATGGGCGCGCGACGTAAACTTCCGTCCGTGAATAGGCTCGCAGGGCAGCGAAGGCGTACGCAAGCAAGCTGTTCAAGCTGTTACTGCCCATAGTATTTAGTACAGGCGGCTGTTGTAGTGCTGTGTAAATATGGAACACACAAATTCGTTGTATGCTATACGTCCACGCTGATGCAAAAATACGACCAGAGAGCCGGGGATACATGCCACACGCGCGTAACTATGCTAACCAATTCCCCAGGTCATCGTGTCGGGCAACGACTTCATGCAATGCTAGCACCACCATCCCCAGACGTGTCCGTCTACACTGCTCTAGTTACAGCGATTGCGCGAGAGTCATCCCAGGGTTGTTCAACGTGACAACCTGGTGACTCACCTTTCGCCAGCATGCCCTGTCAACGCCACTTCCAGCCCTCCTCCACGTAGACACGCTCCTTTGCCCACCCAAGTCCACCACACCAGCTGACCTACTAGCAGGATGCACCGCCATGGGTGCTGCCGCGTTGGTGCCTGCGTAGTCCGACTGCAATGGACGGTCGACACCACGGTTTGGTCGAAGCCTCTGAGCAGTGCTCCTTGAGCGACCACCGCCACCGCTCACGATGAAGCATCCTACTGGTCCAGTAGACAGAGAAAGCATTAGAAGAATCCGCAGGAAACATTTCGTCGTGGGCGGCTTCATCTCCCTTGCGTGTGTAGGACACATCATTCCCGTGCGCGGAGGTGCAGGGTGCCTGGAGGTTTACTGATCACTGCTGTGCTGCCGGTTGCACCGCGACGGAACCCCCACACCCCCAGAGACACCTTCACGGAGCCCCTGGGTGAATTTGCCAAAATTGAATTTGGCTGTTGGTTCATGCAACCCACCTGCAAGGACAACATGATCTTCGACACACCAAGACAACAGCAGCAATAATCAGCACTTCGTTGGGCGTTCTCAAGAACTTCCCACTCCCACCGCGCGTCCGCTGTGCCTGCATATCGAGCGTTCTGTACAGAAGTATTAGGTGAGCGTCGGGGAGACGCTCCCTCCCGCTGGCGTTGCAGTTTTTCACAACTTGCACAAAATGTTGATGTCTACAGCAGTACAATAGTCTCGTGTCGTCAAGCTGTCGTCCACATAGCGCATACATACAAGTAGGGCGCAGCTTACATATGAGGCTTCACAGTTGGTGGGGGACCCAGATACTGCGAGATATACTCTAGCAGGCGTATATGGTAGGACTTTCCCGAACTGGAGGTCTCCAAGTCGCGATCCATTTTCTCGGAAGGCTCGGAACGTTCCTGCGGCACCTGATGGCTTCCGGATACATATACCCTTGCCGCAGCCGCATGCTTGTACCGTATATGACACAAGATAACACACCCCCTGGACCGATTTTCAAAGCTCGATTACTCCACGACGAAGAGGATGCATAAATGAAACAATACGTTTTCGAACAGCTCTCGACGTGACGGTTCCAACGCCGCCGTTTTCGGCGCTGTGACTCTTCCTGCTGTTGAGAAATCGAGCTTTGAAAATCGGCCAAGGGGGTGTGTTATCTTGTGTCATATACGGTATGCAAACGCTAGAACGGAATACCGTCCAATGCACATCAACCTTGCACCTATCCATGGTACAACAGTGACGGGCATCAACGGGCGGTGGTCGCATCTACGGTCTGTGGGTGTTTGGGTGAGGGTTATGGTTGAGGGCTCAACATGAGTTGAAGCTGTTACATACAGCAGTAAAAGTTGCAGACGTTCCGATGCATACATATGATGCATACACAGCAGTACAATAGGTGTCCCGATATAGTGCCGGCATGTGTCCCGGCGATTTGACCGGCACTATACCGGGCACCGGCACTATTCGGAATTGTGCCTGAATCGTGCCAAACCGGCACTATTCAGGGCCTGAAAATCCCTCTAGAGGGCCGGCTTGGCACTATTCAGGACTGTTCGACTTCAGAGTGCAGCGCTTGCGCTTTGCGGGGCTGACAGAGTACCAAACGAACGGTATTTGGATCAATCGTGAGGTGGGCGACGTGGGCGGGCTTCATTAAGTTTCGTGAGGCTCTTGGACTGTCGAAAACACGGCATTGGTCACATTAAAATTAACTTGATTGACCAGATAGATTTGTTGCACAGCAGTTGTTCTCTTCCCACTTCAGCGCAAGCACTCGCTAGTGAAGCGTTCCTGCTGCCTTTCAACCGTAGACCGTGCTGCCCGATAAAAGTTCACCTCGCTATCAAATTATTACGTGTTGTTTTGCAAGAAGGCCGTAGCACTATTCAGGCAACTTCAAAGGCACCCCTCAACAGCGAAAGAAAGACGCTCATGCATGCACCCGATGTACATTTGGAGGTAAAACATGGATGGATGTAGTGCTCCTTACATGAGCACTCACAAGCAGATGCAACCTAAAGAAGGGGTGAAGAAGATAACGAACTCCCTTGTTACTTCGATGAAAAGCTAGAGAGAAGACCAAGCCTTCAGAAGCAAGAAAAACGACTGGCCAACCAAAATACGCCAGTCTCAGTGCGGTAAAAACCAGAAAATATTTGTTTCTCAAGACCGTGAGAGAGTGTCATGGAGGAGGCTGAGCTATTCTCTGGATAAAAGACAGAAATGGTAGCAACAGAGAGAGGAGAACTACGTGACTGCCAAGGCTTACTACTTTGAACACGCGTTCGTTTGGGAGTGTTTTCATCCTTCCTTAGAAGTATTTTATTTACTACCACTACGACACTCTTCACTATTATTTTTCCACTATTTTTTTCATCTCTAGATTCTGCGCCCCTGCGGCGTTTGTTGTGAGGAAGGCCCTCTCGCTCGAAACTCTTGTTGTTCCCCTCAGCGCCATAATTTCCTCCTGCATCATCACTGCTACCGTTGGCTGTATTTTCCATGTCCTTCGCCACTACCACCATCTTCCTTTCCGCTCGCCTCACTACTGAAATCCCAGCCTATTGGTGGAACCTGGTCGATCGGTATACCGTGACATTTAAAGACGTCACGCGTACCGAGAGAAACCGAGCTATACTTGTATTAACTCGAAGGGAAACCGTCTCCGAATCCTGTTGGCGAGGAAGGCTTGAGGCGAAAAAAGGCTGTGTGTGGGGTCTGAACCGGCACTATTGACGGGTTCGATAGTGCCTGAACCGGGACTATAGCGGGCAGCCCTGAATAGTGCCAAACCGGCACTATTCAGGCCTGTGTCTGTGTCGAGAAATTTTACCGGCACTATACCGGACGTTGGCACTATTCAATCGGCACTATATCGGGACACCTACTGTAGTTGCATACACAGTTGGTCTACTGTGTGAGTGCATCGTGAATGCTCATATGCGTAAGACCCCCCTTTCGAGACAATGCCCTTCTACTCAAAGGGGTGTGCAATTGGGGTGTGTTGAAATCTTCGCATTTCCAATGCTTTTGACTACAGATGTTATTCGCTTTTGGCCCTATACGGCGAACTGGCGCGCAGCTTACCCGCGGGCGGGTGTGGGCGTGTGAGTGAGCACATCTCCCCGAAACTTTAATTTTCGAAAATGAGCGGGTGCGCGTGCAAGCGACACGCAGCACTATTCGGAAAAGAGGACGGCCGATGCGGCAGAGGGTTCGAACACAGCACAAGGCGTACCGCGTACACACACGCCGGCGCTGTCATGTCGCATTCCTTGAGCATTGCACCGAACCAACACGAAAAGCCTATCCATACCACCTTGTACTCTTGGCAAATTGGTGCTCGCCCAGGCCGGGTTTAGGCCATGGCCCGTGCCACAAGCAGATGGCTGCATTTTCAAATTTGAAATCTCAGGAGAGAGCTATGCATACATGAGCAGGCAAACCTGCAGCGGCAAGGCACAGCCATGCAGAACATTCGGTAAAATCCTCGGTGCTGCTGCTATGATGCTCGACGAGAGTCCGGACAAGGCGCAAGGTAACATGTCATATGTTCTGTTTCCGGGTACGTGATATATGTCATGCCATGCACATACACGCACCGTACATCGATCATGTCAAGGGGGATTACGCGGGTCCACCTCCAAGCAAAGACGTACCATTGATTAAACCACGAGGCGCGTACATTGGCAGCGGGCTGAGGAACGCCTATGTAGGTACAAAAACATTTGGACCACCTTCGCGAGGATATCAATATCAATTTACATAGCACCAACGAAACAGAAACTTGTCACTCTTTCTCTGAACTGCCGTGACAGGGAGGACGGAAGCTGGCTGCTCCCCCACCCCGAGAGCAATGGCGGAGGTTGCGGTACTCGTTCTTGGTGTAGTGGCCAAGATCCATGACATCGCAAAAGACATCAAAGAGAACAACCAGCAAGCTTATCGATTGCTCGAGAGGGTGGGAGCTATCGAGCCTGCTGTGCTCGCCGTCGAACAGGGCACCAAAACGTCTTCTTCCGAGTCACTGCGCCAGCTCTAAGCGACCGTGAAGATGATCCGAAAGATTTTGGGCAGAGTATGCACGGACGACGAACGTCAACCGCACCCTGAAGCGGAAAGCAAACGCCAGTAAATTCACACAAGCGGGCGGTTCCCTCACCCAAGATGTGCAAGCGCTTTCGCTGGATGTCGCTGCGGACACGTGGGCTAAAGAAGATGCTGCAGACCCCCTGCACGATCTCGAGAACATGGTGGACATAATGGAAAGGATGGAGCACAACCGCACGGAAAACCACGCAGAGACTCTGCGTGTTTTGAAGGTGAGCATGAGTGGTTCTTCCGATTTAGCGGTGTGCAAGTAAGCTAACTCACTCACCCATGTTGTCCTATGTAGGCCCTTTTCTTTTTCAACTTGTATCACTGTCCGGTGTATCCACCAGCGCTAGGAACAAATGTGATATGTGCGATACTGTACGTTGTTCATTCCTTGATAAAACACGTGATGCTTAGCGAAGTACTGACATCGCGCGCAACTTGAATTGAACAAGTTCGTTAAGAACTGCTTGTAGCGATCATCAACATGACTCCCTCTTTCCCCTCGCATGCACTGCGGCGTATCAGGCACTCCGAAATGACGAGCGGTCGGAGCTAACGGCGTGGGACGAGATCGACTATGACAAAGACCTGGACTTCGAGGGCAGCACCCGATTCGGGTCGGGGGGGGTTGGCGAAGTGCGCACAGTAAAATGGAACGGGTCGGACGTAGCAGTGAAGCGTCTCCTGGCGGACGGCCTTGATCGCGATGATGTTCGGGCCCTCAGGAAGGAGGTTCGCATTCATGCCAATCTGCGCTTCGACCATGTGGTCCAGCTATACGCGGCTTCTACGATACCCCCCCACCTTTGCCTGGTCGTTGAGCTCGCTAGTGGGGGCTCGCTGCGGCAGTACTTGCGCTCAACGAACGAGCCACTCGCACACGCGCTGCAGACGGCATTCCTGTTCGACATTGCCAGGGGCATGTGGTTTTTGAACAAGAAGGGCACTTTGCATCGCGACCTGAAATCTGCGAACGTGCTCATATTTGCCAATGGTCGCCTGAAGCTTTGCGACTTTGGGCTCTCCAAAATCATGGCGGAATCCTCAAGTAGATCGATTCAAGGGGCTGTGGGGGCCGAGCAATGAATGTCTCCAGAGGAGATGAAGGAGAGCCCAGCAAATGAACGAACGGACGTATACAGGTGAAATGTTGTTGCGGGCGGTGTTTGTATGATGGTTGCTCATGGGCGACCGTTCGCTGATATCAGTTGCGTAATTGGCTGTCTATTGCCGTTGCGGGTGACAATCGGTGTTCTCTTGCCGCACACGCTCCTCACGCGCCGCCCATACGCCCACGTGTGCTGTGCCCGAATAGGTTTGGGGTCGTCTGCTTCGAAGTGACCACCCGAATGCAGCCCTTCAAGGGAATGAATCGTACGCAAGTCGTCAACGCGGTCGCGTGGCAAGGACAGCGGCCTCAGATTCCACAGTGGGCGTCCGCGTCGCCAGATGTGGTGCCTCTGATGGAGCAGTGCTGGAAGCAAGACCCCGGGCATCGCCCCGAGGGATTTGGGCCCGTGGTACAGACGCTGACAAGCGTGGTGTCGCGTGATGGAGACCCTCGCAATCGCAGCGCAGTTGATGTGGATTACACCTCGTCATCAGGTGTCAAGTGTAGTGGTGGCTCGCCGGACATTGACGCAAGAACGACCCCGGCTACGGGAAGCGATGGGGCTGACGCATCACCGCGAGTTGCGGAAAGGGAGAGCTGCGCGACCGCGCTGCCTCCAGAAGCTGAAAGCGTGCATGCACCGATTGCGGATCTGCCGATAGTACGCCAGGCCCTCGCACCGTCTAGCGGAAGTAGCGGCGAATGTAATCAAGTCACGGAGACGGTCGACGAAGAGCTCAGTATGAAGGTGAGAACCAACTTTTACCTCCGTTGTGTGGTAAAACAAGAAGTGCGCACATCGCCACTCACTGAAAATGCCGTTCGAATTCGTCAATTAGCTCCCTATTTTTCTCTTGCGCTCTCAAAAATGAAGCGAACGCGATCGTGCTTTGGCTTTGCGTTCGTCGGGTCTTGTTTGTTCGGGTCGTGGAATGCTGGATGCCATCCTAAACTCGTACGCTTCTGTGGTTGCGGCAGTGAGACGGGTTGAGCTTCCCTTGACACACACTTCCTCCCATCTGTGTACTCTCAATCTGTTGCCCTGTGCTTACAGGGAACGCACGAAGATGAAGAGCGGTTCTACACGGCCGTTCCTGTGCTCTTTGTGAAGGCCATATGGAAGTATGCGCGAAGGGGCACCGCCCTTTTTTGTCACTTCGTTTGGAAGTGTCCTGACTACCGAGAGATGTGGAAGGACCTCCAAATCCGGGCGGAAGGGTCGAGGAATGAGGTGACCATCTCAGAAAATTTCGCTTGAGATCGATTCGATAGTTACATGTCGGTCAAGTAGGTCGAAGAACATGCCGCGAAAATCGTGGGGTTCCACAGGTATTCGTGGGTTTGTATATTTTGGTCTCAGAGGAATTACGCCATTGACGCCAGTCTTCAAGTTACCCCCAAGATGCTGGGGACAAAACGCAAGATGCTCATCACCAAGCCCACGAAACCAGTCTCGATATCCGGGGCATGGTTTATTCAGCCGTTGTTCCTGTTGCACTTCTCCCTCGCATTCCCAGGGCAAGTATTCGGAGGCGGACTTTGTGTACCTCGAAGCTAGTGAGATTCAGCAGAAGACGCTAGGTCCTGACCACCCAGACCTTGCCGAAACGCTCAACCGCCGGGCTTTGGTGCTGGCAAGCCAGGTGAGGGGCGGAAACACGTTGCACCAACGTTTTTGTAGCAAGCGAAGCTCTGTGTTGTTAAGTTTACCAGGACGTGACGATTTTTGCTCTTGCACCATCGACAACAAATGTTGGTGAACTTTGTTTCGTGCTGGCAGTACATTTCCTCTTAACACCCTCTTGGTTGCTATTTTGAATATCCTCTGAGGCCTAGGCACCGAATGAGCGGTTGTCACTAGATGGAGTTGAGGAACTGTATTGGAACTTTCGAAAGGTGCACACGTGTGTTGGTGCAACTTGGTGCAATATTTCGATTTTTGTGCGTCACTGCCTCACAAAGCCCAGTGCTTGCAACAAATGGCAAGCACGCTGGGGCTGAGACATCTGCGTGTTGCACCTGGATGCGGCGCAGTAGCTCAATATGCAGCGCACGGTTTTGAAATGGCGGTTCCTCGGCGGTGGGCTTGACCGGTCTCTGACGACGAGATCCTAACGCGATTCCCGTCATACTCCAGGGCAAGTATGCTGAGGCGGACCCTCTGTACCTTCCAGGTATCGACATTGGAGAGAGGACATTGGGTCCAGACCACCATGATCTTGCTCCCATTGCTCAGCAATCGAGCGTCCTTGTTAGCGAAACAGGTGAGAGGTCGGAGAGGTTTGCAGGAACCCTCCGGTGATGGTTCCACTGCAAGTTTGTATTAGTTCCACGACGACGCGGTTTTCGAGTTCCTGTACGGTTCTCACACGTGTTTGTGCAATTCACCGTGTTTGGTGGGTCTCTGCCTGACAACAGTAGCCCGCCTGTATGCTACGCGTGGGAATTTTGCTGTGGCCAAGAATGGTTTTGATCAGCCCGGAGCTATAGGAGAGAAGTCACTAGGTCTTGAACACCTGGGTGTGGCTCTATCGACTCTACAACAGAACATGGTCTGAAGGGAGGACTTTCCTAACCTTGACAACGATCCTTCCGCGTTTCCCCGTCATACTCCAGAAAGAATATGCTGAGTCGGACCTTGTGTACGTTCGAGCTATCGGCATTGGAGAGAGGACATTGGACCCCGACCACCACGATCTTGCTGTATGGCTCAGCGGTCGGGCGTACGTGTTAGGGAAGCAGGTGAGAGCTTGGAGAGGTTTGCAGGAATCCTCTCACGATGTTTCTGGTGCAAGTTGGCAGTGATCCCAGGACATCGCGGTAGAGTTCAAGAGTAGTGTTGGAGTTCCCGTAGGGTTCCCGCACGTGTTTGTGCAATTCACCGTGTTTGGGTCTCCGCCTGACAACAGTGGCTCACCTGTTTGCTACGCGTGGGAATTTTGCTGTGGCCGAGAATGGTTTTGATCAGCCCGAAGCTATAGGAGAGAAGTCACTAGGTCTGAAACACCTGGGTGTGGCTCTATCGCTCTACAACAGAGCGTGGTCTGAAGGGAGGGCTTTCCTAACCTTGACGGCGGACTTCCGCGTTTCCCTGTCGTTCTCCAGGGCAAGTACGCTGAGGCGGACCTTCTATTCCTTCGAGCTATCGGCATTGGAGAGAGGACGTTGGACCCCGACCACCACGATCTTGCTGTATGGCTTGGCGACCGGGCGTGGTTGTTTGTGCTACAGGTGAGAGCTTGGAGAGGTTTGCAGGAATCCTCTGATGGTGGGTCTGATGTAGTGGTTTCGGGATGTCGCGGTATAGGTTTACAGTGGTGTTGGAGTGCTCATACGGTTCCCGCACGCGTTTGTGTAGTGGACCTCGTTTTGCGGGTCTCTGCCTGATAACAACTGCATGGAACGCACGCTCAGGTCGATAAAGTCGATGATTGGTCCGAAGCCACACAAGAGAAAGCACTGGGCCTGGAACATTTGTGTGTTGGTCAATCTCTGTACAACAGGGCGTGGTTGTTGGGCGGTTGTTCCCCTGCAGTAGTCGTTCCTAGCCTTGACGACGGTCCTGACGCGTTTCCCCGTCACACTCCAGGGCAAGTATGCTGAGGCGGACCGTCTGTTCGTTCGAGCTATCGACGTTGGAGAGAGGACATTGGGCCCTGACCACTCCGATCTTGCGCTATGGCTTGGCGACCGGGCGCGGTTGCTAGTGCTACAGGTGAGAGCTCGGAGAGGTTTGCAGGAAGCTTTTGATGATGGGTCTGATGTAGTGGGTCCAGGACGTTGAAGTAAGGTTCAGGGGTAGGGTTAGAGTTCCCGTACGAGTCGCCCACCTGTTTGTGCGGTGCACTGTCAATGGTGGTTAAGTGGTCAAACTCCTCAGCGGCAGGCTGTGCATTCGGTTCTCCCTGCGGAGGGGTTTGTTTCCCGCAGGGTTTAAATTCAGCAAGCTGTGGTAGGAAGCGATCTAGGTCGTGGGTATGCACACATCGTCTTCACGGTCGATGAGGGAAAGGGATGGCTGCACCCTTCTCGCGACAATGTCTAAGGCGAGCATCGCAAGGGGAAGAGTGGGGCACGAAACACATCCAAAGTGAAAAATGCTTCTGTTTGGTATTCTTCTTGTGTGACCCCGGCAGATACGTCAGGTGTATACACCTAAAGGCGTTTAGACTGGAGCCACAACAGACGAGACGAACACACACATACACACACCGTCCTCTGGCTGAAAACATAATCTCGCCTGCTTGCTACGCTTGGGAAAAGTATGTAGCGACCGAGGAAGGTGATGATTGGTCCGAAGCCATTCGAGAGAGAGTACTGGGCCTGGAACATTTGGGTGTGGCTCGATCGCTCTTCAGCAGGGCGTGGTTGTTGGGTGGTTGTTCCTCTGCAGTGGTCGTTCCTAGCCTGGACGACGGTCCTGACGCGTTTCCCTGTCATACTCCAGGGCAAGTATGCTGAGGCGGACTCTCTGTGCGTTCGAGCTATCGAAATTGGAGAGAGGACGTTGGACCCCGACGACCCCGATCTTGCTCTGTGGCTCGACGATCAGGCGTGCTTGTTTGAGAAACAGGTGAGGCAGATATTCACAGGAAGCCTCTCATGATGTTCGGATTTGTTGGTTGTGGTTCGAGGATGTGCCGGTAGAGCTTAGGAGTAGGGTTGCAGTTCACCGTCCCTGCCTGACAAAATCGTCCGCCTGATTGCTAGTACGCATGGGAAGTATGCTGGGACTGAGAAAGGCTATACTCCATCCGAAGCCGCACGAGAGACTTGGCGGGCGGGTCGGAGTACTTCATAGTTTGGACTTCGTTGAAATCGTCGACGACCCCCCCATACGTTCGTTGGTGATGTGTCTTGGTTTTGATGGGCCACTTCCTTATTGTTCAATCCATTTTTTTCGGGTGTCCGGATAGCGCGCGGATCTTGTCTTCTGGCCAATTTGGTTGCACGAGATTCATGTGAGAACCGCCAGAATGTTATCAATGAAGTGCTTCCGATGCCGTATCGGTGTCGTCGTGCTCGGCCATGGTGCATCGTTGAGTGCGCAGGTGATGCAAGTCTTGCGTACTCTGCCGGGTTGTGCTACGCACAAGTGACGGCAGCTGTCAATTACTCATTCCAAACGGACACGACATGCGTCAGTCAAGTTGAACTTCTTCAAAGAGCAGGTCCTCATATGCGTTTCCCCCATGTTTGGTAAGAAACCTCGCTGGGAAACTCGCTTGCATCAGCCCCCTGCTTGCCTGTTCTACGGAGTGACCGAACCATTGCTGTTTTCCCGACGAATATCGGAACTCATCTGCTTGAATGTCGGAACTGCAAACCGTCCACAGGGAACGTATCGTGAGGCAATCCCACTTTTGGAGAGGGTCTTATCATTCCGGACGAGACGTCTGGGACAAAGTCATGAACTCACGGTCGGCACTCGGGACAGACTGAAGCGTGTGCGAAAACACACGAGAAAGCGCACTAGGCCAGTCGACTACCTCAATAACCTCCTGAGGAAATAATGTATTTTCCTGAAGAGACTGGTGAGGTGATCTTGGCCTTTGTTCTCTGGAGGTTTCGTGAATATCTCTCCTGCCTTTTGGCATGATTCGGGCGCAGCCGGTTGCATGATACTGTCCTTGGTGCCTGTAGTTTCAGGAAGGGTCATGTAGTTTTTTTCGGTAGATACAAGGGGGAATTGATGTTGAACGATGAGAATAGCTACAGTAGGTTTACTCACGAGTGACGTAGGCTCGAGGGGGGGGGTAAAGTGAGCACTCCGCTCTTTTGTTGGCGCGATTTGAAACTGCATGTTTACACCAGTTTCGCGTTCGTGACGACGATGATTCCCCACTCTGGAGCAATCATGAACATCACCCTCTGGATGTCTTTGTCTGATCGAGTGAACATAGATGCAGCCTTATGCCCTACCATGCGTATATGGGTAGGCGGGGAATGCAACCACAACAGTTGGGTTGGTGAAGGGATGTGGCAGCGTTTGGTGTGAGGAGTGTTGTGGTCTGGAATGGCAATGTCCCTTGCAGGCGTTGGGGTACCACACAACCTCAACTCGATTTTCTCTATCTTCGGTGCTTTTCTAGCATTGGTGCTCTCCTCGTTGCTTCATGTTGCGGAGGGGGAAAAACGGTATCTCCTTGGAGAAGATTGCCACCCCGAAAACGACGCGGCAGGGAAAGTTCTACATCCATCTAGTTTCAAGAGTAGAAGTGCACCCGTACATAGGACCAAGAGTCCGCGTCGTCCCGTGAACGTTGATGTTGTCGATGTTGTAGTGCTAACATGCAAAACCAAATGGCCTGCACGCGTGGAAAACCGCACGCAGCACACGTGAGGCGACATGTTCGACTAATCATGCCCAAATAGTGCCTCCCCAACAACATGCAGGAGTCAAATCTAGGCTACCCACAATCAGGTGTTGCATCTTCTTGCGCACATTTGGCCTCCCTCAATGCCTCTCGCGCTCACAAGCAAAGTGGGACGACTATGTAATATTCAGTCTGTCCAGCGCAAACGCCGGACACTAACCCTTTCTTCAGGCTGTGTTCAAGTCATGGAACAACCAACACTGAGTGCGCAACTCGACAAAAAAGGAATGACTTGAAAGACCACACGTAGCCTGCGTAACGGGTTCATCAATAGACAAGGACGGTCCCTGGAGGCGCCACGCTTCGTGGAAGGGCCGCACAAGTCCGTGGTCCGCGGACGCGCCCACGAAAATGACAAAGTGCAACGCAGAGACCCTCTCCTGGACGTTTCACAAATAGGTCTTCGTGTCAGGTGAATCCAGGATCAATTTGGTGCGTGTAGAACGCTGCGTTCCAGGTCGATTTCGCGGGAAAGTAATGCCTCCATATCATGTTCCCAACAACCTCGGACGTACCATTTGGCGGTGGGAATAATGGCATGCTGAAATGAGGATACGCGGCACCACTTTCGCGGGGCCCCGATTTCAGCTGTAGAATACCCCTCAACACTTGAATTGTAAATCTAGCTCTGTGCATATCTACCGGACACAACGTGCACCGTCGTTCTTGAGGAAAAATTCAGACCACGTCATCAACCCCGTAAGGGTTCGTAAGGGTTACATAACCTACCCTTCATTTCCGAAGGTTCTTGAGGAAGCCAATTGACCTCGTGTGCTTTCGCACACGCTTCAGTCTGTCCCGAGTGTCAACTGTGTCTTGATGGTTTCCTCCCAGATTCTTCGTCTGGGATGAAACGGTCCCCTCCAAGAGCGGGATTGCTTCCCTGTGCCTTCCCTGCCGTGGACGGTTTACGGTGGATTCCAATAACCAATCGTATTGTTTCCGATAAACAACCGCATGCCCGACGGGCGTGGCAGTAGGTAAAAGGCTAACATTGCTTCGGTCGCTCGGCACACAGGCAAGCACTGAGCTACAGCAAGTGCGTAGTTCCAGCAAGTGCGTAGTTCGGCCAAGCTGCATACGATATTCTCGCCGGAACAGGAACATCCTGCAACACTCCAACTTCCAACAAAACAATGCTATGGGCATATTGTTCAAAACAAATTGCCGTGCCCTCTCACCTGTTTCTCTAACAACGATGTCCGGTTGCCGAGCCATACAGCAACATCTGGGTGGTCGGGCCCCAATGTCCTCTCCCCAATGTCGATAGCTCGAAGGTACAGAGAGTCTGCCTCAGCATACTTGCCCTGGTGCATGACGGGAAACTTCGTGAGGATCGTCGTTAAGGCTAGTCAAGCCTACAACCAAGCAAGAACCGCTCAACACCCACAACCGGTTGATGAGCGGGTGTTGAGCAATGAAGCTACACTCAATTTACCAGGCACATCGCGTTCTCTCCTACAGCTCAGGCTCAGCGTGCTTGCCCAAGCACTGCTTTCGTTTGTGAGACCATGACCAATAAGCAACAAATTACGCACTAGTCCATGGGCGCACAGGGTGAACGGCCGACAACGGTCCTCAACTTTATCTAGCGAGTACTCTCACCCACACTACAACCATCCAAAGGTCACCAGTGCACGTTTCCCTGAGCCCTCTGTCGGCTCTCACCTGTTTCTCTACGACTACCGCCCAGTTGTTCAGCATGGTGGCCAGCTGCAGGTGGTCAGGGCCTAAAGTCTTCTCCCCAATCTCGATGGCTCGACGGTACAGACGGTCCGCCTCAAACCTCTTGTCCTAAAGTGTGAGAAAGAGCCACGAAAGGATGGAACTCAAAGCTTGTCGACCCCATTCCAGAGGAGGAACTGGTCAACAAGCACGCGCAGTCGTCGGCGTAGCGGCATCCGCACGCTGCAACGCAGTACCGAACCTCGTAGGGTCTCTGACCGATTATGGGATGTCTCGACCTCTGCGTGGTTTCCACGTGTAGCGAGCAGGCGGGCTGTTGTTGTGAGTCGATGACCCTACCAGAAAGGATGCATTGCACCAACACATGCGTGGCCCCTGCCAAAACTCCAACACACCTACCGGGACATCCTGGGAGCCCTAGAACATCCAGCAGAACATCACGAGAGGCTTCCTCCCGATATCTTCGTAAGCACTCACCTGTTTCTCTAACAACGACGCGCGGTTGCCGAGCCATACAGCAAAGTTGGGGTGATCCGGGCCCAATGCTCTCTCTCTCCAATGTCGATAGCTCGAACATACAGAGGGTCCGCCTCAGCATATTTGCCCTGGAAAATGGCAGAAAACGCCGTTGCCTTGGCGTCGAAACTAGTCAATCCTACTGCCGAAGAAGTACCGCTCAACAACCCCGCCCGACCGTTGAGCGATTGAGCGACGCCTAGGTGTTCTAGGTACAAGTGTGTTATCTCGTATGGCTCAGCCTTAACAACCTGCTTGCCATTGTTACAAGCCCTATGCATAGGAGGCGGTGGCCTACCAGAACCGAAATATTGCGCCAACACATGTTTGCTAATATAACCGTACCAACTTTCCAGTAAAAATTCCTCACATACGTCTGTTGCAAAATCGTGCCGCACTACAGCCATAGGTCGCCAGAAAGATATTTACCTGGTAGCCTCCTCTCACCTGTTTCTCCAAAAATAACGCCCGGTTGTTGAGCACGGCCGCAAACCCCGGGTGGTCAGGGCCCAGTGTCTTCTCCCCGATCTCGATGGCTCGAAGGTACAGGTGGTCTGCCTCCGTGTGCTTGCCCTTAAGCATGAGGCGGAACACGAGGATTGACCTCAACGCTTGTCGAACATACCGCGGAGCAACAAAGGCTCCCCATACGCGAATATTCGTTAATATAGCGATGTCCGGACCATCCCGACCAGTGCCGACTCCGGCATTGCTTCCGACCGATCATAGAGGGGTTAGGTCTCGGCGTGCTTCCTATGTGAAGCAAGCAGGCGGGACGTACGTTTGAGGCAGTGGCACACCACATACCATACATAGCACCAAAAATGCATTTAACCCTGTGAGAACTCCCACACAGCCCTAACGCTCTTGGGACATCTTGCAAATCTCACAACATCCTGCAGAACATCGCGAGAGGCGTCCTTGACAGCCCTGAACCTGTACAGCAAGCTCTCACCTGTTTAACTAACAAGGACGCCCGATTGCCGAACCATAGAGCAAAGTCCGGATGGTCAGGGCCCAACATCCTCTCCCCAATGTCGATAGCTCGAAGGTACAGAGGGTCCGCCTCAGCATACTTGCCCTGGAGTGTTACGGGAAAACGCCTTAGGATTGTGGTCAACGCTGCAGAAGTAGTCAAGTCTATTGCGGCGTGACCGCTGAACAACGACGCCCGGCCGTTGAGCGATTGAGCTGCAGCCAAGTGTTCCAGGCGCACGTTCTTTCCTATGGCTCTACGAGGAAGTGGGCCGCCAGAAACGAAGTATTGCATCAGCACTTGCGTGCACCTTGCGAATTTTCCAACCCATTCCTCAAAACCATCTACAGTAGTGAATACTCACTCCCGCGAGACAACATCCATTGGTCACCAGTGCGCACTCCTCGTATCCTCTGCCAGCTCTCACCTGCTTCTCTACGAACACCGCCCGGTTGTTGAGCATGGCGGCAAGCTGCAGGTGGTCAGGGCCAAAAGCCTTCTCTCCAATCTCGATGGCTCGAAGGTACAGACGGTCCGCCTCGGAATTGTTGCCCTGGAGCGGAGGGGCAAACAGAAAAGAGTGAACTCAAGGCTTGTCGAACCTGCCGCGGAGGAACGCCGGGTCGACGAAACGCGTGGTCGTAGTTTTGGCGACATCCGCAAGCTCTAGACCTAGCCCCGTATCTCGTATGGGTTCTGACGAATCATGGAGTGTCTTGGGCTCGCCGTACTTGCCATGTGTAACATGCAGGCGGGACGTTGTTGTGAGGCAGTCGCCCAGCAAACACTGTCACTGAACTAAACTACGCGTGAGCCCTGCTAAAGACTCCAAGGCAACTCTTCAAGCCTACCCAACCCTTCCGGGACACCCTGCACCCACCGCAACCACCACGACAACATCCATCACAGTAGCACGAGAGGTGTCTCTGTACTCACCCGTTTATCTAGCAATGACGCCCGGCTGCCAAGCAATACTGAAACACGAGGGTGGTCAGGGCCCAGCGTCCTCTCCGCCATGTCGATAGCTAGAAAAGACAGAGGGTCCGCCTCGGCATACTTTCCCTGGAGTACATGACGGGATAACGCGTAAGGATCGTCGTCAAGGCTAGTCAAGCCTGTTGACAAGAACGCACGCCCACCTCCGCCTTTGGTGTTGCGCGATCGAGCCTCATCCACGTGTACCAGGCACAGTTCAATATCTCCAATAGCCCAGCCTCACCGTGCATGCCGTTATTGCAAGACCTGGGATTTGCGAGGCCGTGGCCCTCCAGAAACGACATTGTGCACCAACACGTACGAAATTTCCAGCAACGTTCCTCAATCAATCTACATAGTGAATACTCACCGCACTTCAACATCCACGGGTCTCCAGCACACGTTTGTTGGTAATCTCTGTCAGCTCTTGCCTGTTTTTCTAGCAGTACCGCCCGGTCGTTGAGCCATCCAGCGAGATCGGGGTGGTCAGGGCCTAGCGCCACCTCTCCAATCTCGATAGCTCGAAGGCACAAACATTCCGCCTCAGAAACCTTGCCCTGAAGTATGAGGGGGAAAATAAAGGATTGAAGCCAATGCCTGTCAAACCTACTGCGGAGAAACGACGGCTCAAGCAAACAAGCTTTAAATTGTCGTTAATTTGTTCACACCAGGGTCATCAGGCATGGAGTTTGATCTCGCGTTGGTTCTGCACGGCCACAGAGAGGCCTGCCCTTAGCGTACTTCCGACGGGGAGCACGCATGTGGGCTGCGTTCGAGGCAGTGGCCCACCAAATACGATATACCATACTGCACCAACAACAAACATGAACCTCCAACACAATCCTTCAAATTTACCGGGGCATCCTGGAAGCACTACTCCATCCGGCAGAACATCCTGAGAGTCTTCCTGCAAATTGCTGCAAGGACTCACCTGTTTCTCTAACAACGATGCCCGGTTGACCAGCCATAGAGCAAAATCGGGGTGGTCGGGGCCCAACCTCCTCTCCCCAATGTCGATAGCTCGAAGGTGCAAAGTGTCCGCCTTGGCATACTTGCCCTAGAGAATGACGTGAAAACTCGTGAGGATGGTCGTCGACGGTAATTAGGCCTACTGCAGAGGAACAACCGCTCAACAACCACACCCGGTTGTCGACAAAACCCACGACTGGTTGAAGGGTGATTGAGCCGCATTCAGGTATTTCAGACCTAGCGTCTTCTCGTATGGCTCAGCCGCAGCGTGCTTGCAATTTTTTAAGCGCCAGGCTGTGTGAGCCCGTGGCTTACCCGAAACGAAATATTGCACCAACACGTGGGCGCACCGTGCAATTTTTCCAACAAAGTTCCTCAAACCAGTGAGTACTCCCGTCTGGAATCCAGCATCCGTAGGTCACCAGTACACGTTTCCAGGCAGCAATAGTCACCTCTCACCCGTTTCTGTAACAATACCGCCCGGTTGTTGAGCATGGCGGCAAGCTGCGGGTGGACAGGGCCCAACGTCTTCTCGCCGATGTTGATGGCTCGAAGGAACAGGCGGTTCGCCTTAGAATCATTTCCCTGGAAAACGAGGGGAAAAAACTCTAGGTTGCCGATGTAATGCGGAGGAACACCAGCTGAACAAACATGGCCTTGGTGCTGAGTGGATGGGTCGTGTCCGGTTATCCGGCAAAAAATCGGCTTTCGATAAGGTTCTGAAAGGTCATTGTGGCAAGCCGTTACGTGCTATCAATGTGCAGCAAGTCGATACGTTTGAGGCAGTGGCTCACCAGACAAGATGGATTGCACCAAGACATGAGTGCAACGGGCGAGAACTCCTCAAATCGACCCGGACATCCTGCATGTCCTCCAACCTCCAACACAAAAACCACCAAGAGGCTTCCGGAAATTGTTGCAACCTCTCACCCGTTTCTCCAACAGCGACGCCCGGTTGCCAAGCCATACCGGGAAATCAGGGTGGTCAGGGCCCAATGTGTCGATAGCTCGAACGTACAGAGGGTCGGCCTCAGCATGCTTGCCCTGGAGTATGACGGGAGCATAGTCGTTAAGGCTGCTGAAAACTATCGCCGAAGATCAATCTCTCAACAATCACGCAGTGGCTACTGAGCGATTCTGCCACGCCAGGGTTTTTCAGGCACAGTGCGTTCTCTCCTATGACTCAGTCTCAACGTGCTTACCACTGTTTCAAGCACTGCGCACGGGGAAGCCGTAGCTCACTGGAATCGAAACAGTGCGCAAACAATTGCGTACTAACCCTACTCGTCAATTTCTTTTTTTAAGTACTTAACACTCCCGCCTACCCCACAACATCCATGGCTCGCCAGTACACGTTTCCAGTTACGTTTCAGCAGCTCCCACCTGCTTCTCCAAAAATAACGCCCGGCTGTTGAGCATGGTGGCAACCATCAGGTGGTCGGGGCCCAATGTTTTCTCCCCAATCTCGATGGCTCGAAGGTACAGACGGTCCGCCTCAGAATCCTTGCCCTAATGAATGAGGAGGAAACACCAGGAAGGTAGTCAAGACTTGACGGGCCTACTGCAGATAAAAAACGATTCAACAAACAAGCGAGGTCATCGATCAAGCGTTTCCGGCCGCTCCTGCCCCAGTGCCGAATCTCGCATAGCTTCTAACCCGGTCATCGCTTGTCTCCGCCTGAGCATACTTCTCATGTGTAGCAAGCTACAGGACTGTTGTTGTCAGGCGACCGCCTATCGGAAACAATACAATTTGTTCACAAAACACATGCTCGGACACAGGTTCGACGAAAATCTCTCGACTTTGCTCGACTGGTCTACTCTCTACCACAACGTCCAGGGGCAACCACGCGCAATATCCTTGCAAGTACTGTCGGCTCTAACCTGTGCCGCTAGCACCCACGCCCGACTAGAGAGAATTGCAGCATGGTCGGGGTGCTCAGGGCCTAGGGTTTTCTCCCCGATGTCGGCAGCTCGAAGGGACAGAGAGTCCGCCTCAGGAATCTTCCACTAGGCATGATTAGAGAATGGGACAGGCAAGAGGTCAAGGAAAGTGAAGCTCACGGCGGGCAAACAATCGAAAACGAAAACAATTACGGTCCTGGTCATAAAACGACTCTAAAGTCAACATCCGCAGAAATTCTATTCATGTAAGGCCTATGCCCCTCCAAGGAGAGGCTCAGCCTCACCGGACAATACGTATTGGCAAGGGTTGTTTTCGTATGACATCAGCTGACCGGAAACGAAGAGCGGTATGCGACACGAGCTTTCCTCAACTCTACACTCTACCTGATTGCTCAACAACACCACTCACCTGTGCCCGCAACACAAAAGCCCGGTTGCTGAGCCATGAAGCTAGATCGGGGTGGTCAGGACCTAGCGTCGCTTCTCCAATCTCGATAGATCGAAGGTACAGAGCATCTGCTTCAGCATACTTGCACTGGAGCATGAGAGACGAAGGCGATAGGAGTGTGATCATGACCAGTTGTGCGGAGAAGAAACTCCCGACAACAACGCCCGATTCTTCGCTCGCATCTGGATTCGTTCGGACCCAGCGCCCCAATCTGATATTGCTTATCGCCCCAAATAGATTGGCTCAGCCTCAACATGCAACGGTTGGATGTTGTTGTGAAGCGGGCGAACCAAACACCAAACATGCCGCCAATGAAAGTGGGGACCGGTAATAATGTCGTGCAATCCTCTTTCCACCGGACTACTGAGAAACAAATCTTGCCCCGTTCTGCAGCTTCTCCTCTGGGGATTTTCCTGGTAAGCTCTGATGGCTCTCACCTCAGCACGCAACGAATCCGCTCGATCGCTGAGCCATCCAGCAACATCAGGGTGGCCAGGACCTAGCGTCTTCTCTCCAATCTCGATAGCTCGAAGAGTGAGAGGGCCGGCCTCTGCGTACTTCCCCTGGTGTATTGCCATCCCCGAACAGGTGTGGGAGGCTCATCATTGCGAGTGCTGTCTACCGCGGAGAAGCAAATAATCAAAACCACACACGTTGGTATTGAGCGAATCGACAACACTCGCACGCTCCAGACTCAGAAGAGATGGCCCGCTCATAGGGCGCGTCAGACGAAAATGCGTTTCGCATGACTGCAAGCAGGGGATTGTTGCTGTGAGCAGTAGCCCACCGGCAACGAAACATTAACGTTCCCCACATGTGTGGACCATACAAATTCCCCCAAAAACTCACCAACCGGTCATATCATCTCACCTGCTCCTTCAAAAGTACCGCCCGGATACCGAGACACGGCGCAAGATCGGGGTGGTCGGGGCCCAGCATGTTCTCTACAATCTCGACGGCTAGAAGGGATAGAGTATCCGCCTCGGCATACTTCCCCTGCAGTGCGAGGGGGACACGCGAGATACCATGAGCATGCTCGTGTCAACAAGTGTGGAGGAAACAATCCCAACATCCACGTTTGCTTGTTTGATTCTCTGGGAAATATGTTCAGTTGGCTGCATGTGTTGTTCTCGCTGTTCCGAAACGACCACTTGCTGTAATGGAAATCACAAGATTCACGCAGACATGACCGACGTCACAACCCGAGGCTTCGGATCCAGAGACTTATCCTTCGCCTTTTATGAGCGCTGACAGATCGGCGAAGCCTATGTGCATACTACGTAGGTCAGGTCCCAAGCAAATTGGTTTGTGTGAGGCAGTGGTCCACTAGAAACAGATCATGGCCGCCAGCAATGTCTGTACCATGGGAACACGCTATCTAAACTCCGCTTGACTCGATTTACCATCCCTCCGGCCTCAAAATCCCCACGAGGGCGACACCTCAACTCTCTTGGCCATTTCCTGATACGCTTAGCTGCGCTAGCAACAGATCCGACCGGTTGCAAAGTCTTGTAGCGAGATCAGGGTGGTCAGGGCCATGAGTTTTCTCTCCAATCTCGATGGCTCGAAGATACAGAGGGTTTGCCTCTGCATACTTACCCTGGAGTACGGGGGGGAGTATGCGATGAGTACAGAGTCAGGTAAGGAAGTGCGAAAGAACAAATTTCGATCAACCACGCCCGGACAGTTCAGTTCGTCCATACCCAATACCGTACGTATTCGGTCGTGCGACTTTGACAACTTTTTTCAGCGCGTCAGCCTCAATTATCCATCAAGTTCGCAATGTACAATGGATGGTTGTGAGAAACGACGTTTGGGTGGATCGTGGAGGAGCATTATATCAAAATATCCATTCCCTGACAAACAACAACCCCGCCCCCGCCGCGAAACTCACAAGTTGTTGCTGAACAAACCTTCCTACAAACCTCACCTGACTCTTTAACAATAGAGCTCGGCCATTGAGCGTTGTCGCAAGGTCTGCGTGGTCAGGACCTAGCGTCTGCTGCTGAATCTCAATAGCTTCGAGATACGCAGGGTCTGCCTGCGCGTATTTGCCCTGGAAAGCAAGGGACACGTACAACAAGGACCAAATGCTCTAAAACCACGCCCCGGATATTGAGACTGGTCTGAGCGATGAGCATCTTGTGGCTGGACCGCCACAAATTGGGGCTTTGGTTTCGTTGGTCGAAGTTTCATTATTGGGTGGAGAGGTGGGTAGATGCCAATCTCGCAATTCCACTAAGACCAACAAAACATATCACGAACACATACTGACCCCACGAACTTCCTCCTAACATTCTTCGGGTTATCCAAGCAACGTTCGATTGTTGACTTGAGAGGAAGCAAGATGTCGTGGTCGTCACCTGTTTTCTTAAATTCTCCGCCCTGTCGTAGATGTCCTAGGCCATCTCTCGGTGGTCAGGTCGCTGGTGGAGTCGATCTCCATTCTCATGCGCGCCCTGCCAGGACAGGGTGACAGAGGAGGTTCAAAAACGACATACCGCCTCTCTTGCTAAGCGCTGATGGGAATGGTGACATACAGGGTTCCAGGACCCGCACAAAAAGATGTCAACCAATGTGAATGGAAGGTGATAGGATGTGATTCCAATTCGATAGCACAACAAGACAACAGAGGCGTAATTGACGAGATTGAACTGTAATGTTGAATACGTTGTGAGCAGTGCTGCAGTATCGCACAACCCAGCTAGTGGCGGTTTCTCACCTTCGTGGCGACCTCCTCGTCGATCATCTCGGTCAGCTGTTTGCATTCGCCGCTAGTTCCAGCTGACGGCGCGAGTGCTTTGTTCGCGAGCAGCAAATCCTTACTCGGTGTCTGTACATTTCCAGAGTCTCGAGGCAGCGCGGTGGTTCCGACCTCCTCTTCTGCAACAAGGGGTGACGCCTCAACACCATCACTAACCGTATCCGGTGCCGTTCCCACTCCATCGCTCGATGGGCCAACACTACGCTGGGTACCTGGTGACGAGGTGGCATCCACGGCAACTGCGCTGTGATTGCGAGGATCTCCATCACGCGACACAACGCTTGCCAGCGCCTGTACCACGGGCCCAAATCCCTCGGGGCGATGCCCGGGGTCTTGCTTCCAGCACTGCTCCATTAGAGGCACGACATCTGGCGACGCAGACGCCCACTCTGGAATCTGAGGTCGCCTTTCGTTCAGCACGACCGATCACTTGCGTAGGATTCATTCCCTTGAACGGCTCCATTCGGGTGATCACCTCGAAGCAGACGACACCGAAACTAGCAGAGCAAAACGCAAGTAGGCAAAGGAGTGATGGTTGAGTGTGCTTTGCCCCAATGGGACGCCCATGAAGTGGCGTCCTGGGATCATATGCGAAACATTTCGTTGATGTTTTCGCGCACCGCCTCCACTTCAACCCACCGCCGTGTCGAACAAAAGAAATTTTGGGCAGCTATTGTCCTGACATGTCCTTCCGGGTCCGGAAACGAAAGGAAACGAGAGTGTGGGGGATTTGGCGTGGGCACAACAGTGCTGGAAAATGCTCCTTCTTCCGGTTTTTAGGCTTTGTTCCGTGATGGGATGTTGCCCGTGTGGGCCCCGGACTAGCTGTGAGCGCACTTTCCCCTGCCTTCCATCAACCCTGGGTCTAAATGGGTTGCTGAAACAAGACATCACAATAATCATGCATACTACAGAGGCGCTTGGCCGGTCTCCACAATCGTCTCGCAGTCCGTGCTGGTTACGGGGGTCAAACGGCACGGCGACATGGAGGCAGTCGCTGCTTGAACAGATTTTTGGAGCCTCAATCAACTGCAGAAGGTTGTGGATATTGGTGTTCTGTAGTACCCGTCAGATCACGAGGTCAAGCCTGCCGGATGGACAACTTGGCCAACATGAAAGGAGGCCTTGAACCCTAATTCTACGTAGACGAACTT